GTCACCCTCAGTTGAGTTCTGTGGCATCATAGCTCACAGCAACCTGAAACTCTTGGGTTTAAGCGATTCTCTTGTCTTAGCCTCCCAAGTAGCTGGGACTATAGGTGCCCACCACAATGCCTGGCTATTTTTAGAGATGGGGTCTTACTCTTGCTCAGGCTGGTCTGGAACCTGTGAGCTCAGGTAGTCTATCTGCCTTGGCCTCCCAGAGTGCTAGGATTATAGGTGTGAGCTGCTGTACCCGGTCCTTGAGATAACATTTTTGATTTTAGTTATTTTAAGCAACATTGGTACTAAGTTTATACACTAGGATGGTAAGACCTTTATGAGCGTCTCTCAGTTCTAAAATTCATTATGACCCAAATGCCAATGTAAGTATGCCTTTCCATAAAGACTTAAATGATGAGGATATGTTATTACTGTTTAGATAAACCCATGTTTACATTTGTAGGAAGCATCACATGTGTTTTAAATGAAAGGACAGATTTTTTTTGGACTGTAAGGATTTATATGTTGGAGATGGAATAGACTTCTAAAGATTTCATATTTTCTTGCATATACATTTTTTTTTTTTGCAGATGAGAAGATTGAGAAGCTGTCACTTATATAAGATTTCATAGTTACGTAGTACCAGAACTGATTCTGACTGTAACCACTGCTTTACTTCATAAAGGATTTTGATCACACAGCATATTTCCCTACTATATTTCAAATGATTTACTTTATAAAAATGTGTTGTACATACCCTTTCAGAAATGTATATATTGTCTAGTGCTCAATCCTAGATTTATAAACATTGATTGAAATAGGAGAGCGCAGAGAATCTGTAATATTGCCAGAATGTCCTAATTAAGTTTATTAAATGCCTAGTCTTAAGTTTATTAAATGCAATTTTTCCTAACATGATGGTCATGGAACCAGAAAACAGCCATTATAATAGAACACCACAATTCCTGGGGTTAAATTTTGAGAGCCACTGGTTTACTTTTCATTCTTTGAATAAAAATGAACAAAATAAAAATGTTTATTTTAGATTTTTTTTTTGGTAGTTAGGTAATTTTTAATGTTTGGTAATTTGGGGCGCTGGCTTCATATACTAGAGGTGGCAGGTTCAAACCTGGCTCCGGCCAAAAAAAAAAAAAAAAAAACCAAAAAGACACAGATAATTTGATACAGTATGATGTTTTGGGAAAGCATCTTAATTACTTTTAATGGTAATAAGGAGTTTTGTAATGAGTTAACCAAGGCCTTCTTTTAGAAAATACAGCAAAATATAGAAACCCCAACCATGTTTCTAATTACTGCTTATCTTTTTGTCACAGGGAGTCAGAGACACATTTTTCTTCTGACACAGATTTTGAAGACATTGAAGGAAAAAACCAAAAGCAAGGCAAAGGAAAAGTATGTATCACATGTATGGCTTTATTTGGGCTTTTAAGATTGTGTGTGTATATGTATGTAGTAAGCTTGTATATAGGTTAAATACACATGTATATATAGAGATGCAGATATATATCAGATATTATGTTTTTTTTACTTTGTCACCCTTGGTAGAGTGCCGTGGCGTCATACTTTATATCGACCTCAAACTCTTGGGCTCAAGCAATCCTCTTGCCTTAGCCTCCTAGGTAGCTGGACTATAGGACCACAATGCCTGGCTATTTTTTTTTGGGGGGGGGTCTTGCTCTATCTCAGGCTAGTCTCGAACTTATAAGCTAAAGCATCCCACCTGCCTGGGCCTCTCACAGTGCTGGGATTATAGGTGTGAGCCACCACAACCAGCTCAGATATTACCTTTTAAAAATGGGGGTTTTTTTGGAAGGGGAGGTTGATGGTTATGGTAAATCTTTTAAATAAATATGGTCCTTTTGTCTTCTAGACCAAATAGCTTTTTATTTCTAATGCTGTAAGCTGAAATTAATAATAATAATAATACATTCTTGTTTCCAATAGTTTATTCATTTTGTAAAGTACCGTATGCTAAGCAAAATTCTGTTGTTTTTATTTTCCCATGGGTAATAAAATATGAAGCCAAGAAACACACACATAAAATTTCTTATTCTAAAGTACTATAATAACGTATCTTACAACTAGTTTAAGTCTATGTGGTTACCATTGATAAGAGTCATTTTACTCTTTATAAGTAATGTCAATGATTAAAGCTAACAAAGTTTGGATCAATAGACTACAAGTATGAATGGGTAGCCTGATTGCTATGGATAACTTGGAAAGTGGTTAAATCCATTTGTTAATGTGTATAAATGTATCATAGAAAAGATGACTTGTTTGTGTTGTTCAGCAATTTTTTCCGCAAAATGAATTTTTGATTTGTATTTTCTCATGATATATTTGGAAAAAGTCCTCTGTGTAATACCAAAATTTACATCAAACAAACTGAAAATTTACCATAATCCTGTTAGCTGGAGGTCATTTATTCTTTAAACATTTTGTGAATATACCTTTACACATGTACTTATATATTAACATGCTTGTAGAATTTTACTTAAATGGAATTATAGTTTTCAGACTGCTTCATGTGCTTTGTAAAACTCACCAGTGTGTTGTCAACAACTTTCCATCAGTTCATGTAAAACTATGTAAGTTTTATTCTGTTATGTTCTGTTCTGTTCTGTCTCATACTGTCCTGTCCTGTCCCTGATCCTATCCACTTTTTTTGGAGACAAAGTCTCACTGTGTTGCCCAGCCTGGAGTACAGTGACTATTCACAGGTACAGTCATACACAATACAGCTTCAAATTCCTGGGGTTGGGAGGTTTTTCTACCTCAGCCTTCTGGGTAGCTGGGTCTACAAGCGTGATACCACCACATTGCCATCTCTGTAATTTTTAATGGTGGGATAATACAACATTTTATGTATTGAACATAATTTATTCACCTAGTCCTGGAACTTTTTAGAGTGTTCATAATTCTCCGTGTATTTCATAATTTTGTATATTTTCTTAGTTCCTTATAAAGAAATTCTGGGAGAGAGGTATGAACAGAGATGTTAACTCATGACTATCTAAAGGTAGCTTTAATTCTAGTGGGCAGTAATTCATCAGGAAATCATTTTTTCTTTAATCTACTTTTGCCTTGAATTTACGTTTTGGGAAAAGATCCCTGTTGGCACCCGAATAGTGGAGTCAATAAAGTTTTTGTGTTAAAGTTGGGTTAAATTTATGTAGCAACTGCTGTGGGTGAGGTATTGGGAATTGATCAAAGACCTTTTTAGAATAATAAGAGCAACTACATTTTAATATCATACTATGTATGTTCCATGGACTGTGTATGTTAATCTAATATTTGAACAAGTCTGTGGATTAGAAAACTTTTATTTAGCTTTGTGCAGTGGTAGTATCATAGCCCGTGAGTTTTATACAAGGTGTAATTATTGCTAATTGAATACTTTGCCCCCCATACGATGACTTGCAGTATAGTCAGGATTGGCAATTTTTGATGATCTCTACAGAGACTGAATTTAAGAAAAGAAACCTTCCTTGTTTTGTAGATAGGAAACTGAGGTCCAGAGAAGCCCAGTCGTTAAAGAATTTCAGCTCAGGTCTGTACCCATAACTCATATACTGTACTACCTCCTGCCTTAGCCTCTCAAAGTGCTAGATTACAGGCAAGAGCCACTGCACCAAGTTACAAATCACTTGTAACAGAAAACTTATTGTTCATAACATTTACATTAGGCACTGCACATGAACTTTTTTTCTAATTTAAGATAGTAGTTCAGGCT